CCCGGGAAGCCGGGAGAACGATGGGCGCGAGCTTTGGGGACGCGACGGAGGGAGCGAGCCTGCCGGCTAGGCGACCAGTTCGAGCCTGGCCCGCCGACTCAGTCAGTCAGTGCAGCGGCAGGGGTAACGCGGGGTCCGGCTGGGACCATTTTAACTGCGGCTCCGCCGGTGGCGCGCGTGCCCGCGACACAGCTCAGAGCCGCAGGAGCGCGCGGCCCGCTCGAGGAGGGGGCGGAGCCGCGGCGGAGGCGCGCTCGGGGTGGGGGCGCGGGCGTCCGGCTGCTCACCCAGGACGGCCGCTAGGCAGGGATTGCTGGGAGGCGGGCCGGCGAGGGTGCGGGGCTCGCGGGGTACGGTGCGCGCCCCTCCCTCCGGTCGCCCAAGGTTTCGTGGAGCCCATGCCCCTCTTGTAGGGCGGGAGGAGACGCTTCCGAGCCAGCTGTGTGACATCCGTTTGCACAGCCGCGCTGACGTCTGTAGGTGTAAGTTCAAGAACTGCCATTGGCCGGGAGCCGCTCGACTCTTTCCCTCATCCCCACCTCCCGACTCAGAGACCGGAGCCACCAGGGAAGGGTAAGCCTGGTTCCGCCGGAAGGCCGACCCGGGTCCTCGGCGGCCCCCGGGGTGGAGTGGCAGATGCGCGGCCCTGGGCTGGTGCGGACCCGTGCTCTCCCGTGAGGGGTTAATGAGTAGTGCCGCGCCGCTCCGTTTCGCCACTTGTTTTCATACTTGTTGCTTGAGGCCGACTACTGACTTTCCATAACTTTATTTCAAAATGAAAGTGCCTATCAAATTATCTTTACACGCCAGAAGGTTAAACAGCTTCTCAACCTAGTGAGTCACCCAATATCTCAGGGCGCTAGACTTTATTGCTTGCACCCTCGGAGTCCCCATCTGTCCATCCATCATATACAGTACTTTAAAAATGTGCAGTGCCTGCTATATGATGAACTGTTCTAGGGGGACCCTGAAGACCCAGGTGAGAAAGAAAAGAGGAAGTATGCTTTGCAGACAACCCTTTGGAAGGTTTGACTGTAATGAGACCATAGAGATAAGGCAGTATCTAGAGTGTTACCTGGTGTTGAAAGGTTAGTTTTCACAAGGGAGAAACAGCGAACGGTTCTGCAAGGGAGGAATTGAAGAAGCTGAAGAGAATGAGCGGGTATAAAAGGAGGAGCGAAAATGCGAGAAGATCACACAACAAGACCCCTGAGAAGATGGAATGGTGGTGACGTTGGGAGGGATACCGCCTTCACTGTGTCAGGAAGGAAGGAGGAAAGGCTAGATCAAGGATAAATCCAGATAGGTGGACATTTCTGACAAGAAACTGAAAGAGTTCTTTTCAAACGGTGGAGCCTGTAAGTGGAGCCTGGTTACTTGCTGAAAGGTGGAAGGTGGCCGATTGTTTTTTTTTTTAAAGCTACTGAAGATAACTGAGAGACCTGACTGAGGAAGCAATATTGCAAGATTCAAGGCCTGCCCGCTTAGGGACCACTGTTATAGCTTATGTGACTTTCCCACCACAGTGGCCAGCCACACCCAGCCTTCACCGACATACCATCAAAATTTTGCTAATAGAGGCCTCTTTGTCAGGAATGACTTTTATTTTAGGTCTGCAAACATTCAGACATCTCCCATTCTGAGTTTAGTCACAGTAAGATGGGATTCCAAGAAACCTAGAGGCAAAGATTCATGAAAGAGTTTATATATATATATTTTTTTTTCAATGCACTGCCTAAACTACATTTCCCTACAGATATTATCCACACAGCCTTCATCCCTCTGATTTTAGAAGCATCTTCCAGGGCCCCAGAGCTTCACTGGTGAGGAAGGGAAATCCTTTGCATCTCTTCCAGCCTACACTTTGAGCAAAAGGAGAGGGTATTCTAAGCCTTTTTATTACTTTCTCTCTGTCAAAATTGTGGACCAATTAGTTTCATATAAATTAAACACACATGACCCAGCAATTCCGCTTACAGGTATTTATCCGAGAAAAAGAAAAGCAAATATCCACAAAAAGACTTGTACAAAAATACTAATAGCAGCTTTATTCATGACCAGCAAAATGAACAAGAAACCTAGATGTCCATCAGTAGAACAAACTGGTATACTCATTGGATAGAATACTACTAAGCAATTAAAAGGAGGGGAGGAAGGGAGGGAAACAACATGAATGAATCACAAACACTTAGGCTGATTTATACTGTGGAGTTGGAGCCCTAGAGTCTCTACCTGATTTTACCAAGCTCCCCATGTGATTACTACATAGACAGCCTGGCACCATGCAGACCTATTAGAACTACACACAAAATCTAACTACAGCTTCTTGTTTTCAGAGATGAAGCAAGTGACTCTGAGACTTTTGAAGTGGATTCTGAAATTCACAGCACCCGTTCTTATTTCCAGTTCCAGAGCCATTCAGCCACAAGCAGGTGGCTGCTTTTCTCTCTACCACAGCATGTAGCAGAGGCTTTCATATGTTTTAGTAAGGATTAAGTACATTACTAATATTGTCACCAGAGATATAAGGAGTTTAAGAACTCATTACCCTAAATAATAATACTGATAAGTATTCTAAATATTCAGGAAACAGAATTATGAGTAAGAGTTATGAATTGCAGTTTAGAGACAATTATAGCAGTTTGTTAGAAAAAAGAAAGCAGCCTGAACAACCAGGAGCTGGCCTGTACTATTCACTAGGCCTTGGTGTTACTGGCATTCTTAACTAGGTTTGTGTGTTCTGTTGAACAAAAAACAATATCACAAAACTTCAACATCAGATGTGGCCACTCTGTGACCATAATAAATGAGACAAAAATAAGATGCCTTCATAATGTCTGAACACAGCACTCTCCAAACCACAAAAATGAACATTCTGCCTAATATAAGTGATTACTCTTTTTTAACCAATTACAACCTAAGCCTTGCTCCACTGTTCCTACCTTCTAGATAACAATTATTAAAATATCCAACCATAGAAAAACAGCTCCTTCCTGACAACATCCAATCCAGACCAAAGCCTTGAACTTTCCTCAAAATCACCAACCACAAGCCAAAATCCTATAAGTCTTTTACACCTTCTTACTGAGACTCTCCACATTTCATCACATTGTACTATGTGCCTGTTTGTAACAAGTTAATAAACCCAACATGGTTTGACTATGGGTGTGTTCCTGTTGGTTTTTGGCTGGAAAGCATTAACAATCATAATCAAATGTCACTATCCTATCAAAAATCACTCCCTCCTTATGCTGTTCACCTTAAATTTTATACTGCTGTTTGTCTATTATATCTCAGTTAAAGAAATAAAATTAAATTACACACCCCTTTACTTTTCCTCTTACCTTGCTTTTATTTTCTTTATATCTCATTATCACGTTTATTTTGTCACTTTTTTTCACTTTCAGTCTCTTCTACTAGAGTGTAAATTCCATGATGACATGGACTCTGTTCAGTTTTTAGGAAGATAATCTGGCAACCTTATAGAAGATGGACTAGAGGAGGAAGAGGCTCTTAGCAGGAAGATCAGTTAAGACTGTTCAGAGGATCAATGGATGGGCCTTAAAAGCATGAATTAAGGCCATCGTGGTGAGGATAATGAAGTAGAAGCGGGATTGAGAAACATCTCTTACATGGAATTTTCAGGATTTAGTAACTTGCTTATGAATTAGGTAGAGGAGGGGATGCTGGATAGGGAAGAAATGAAGAACCCCAAAACAGCAACTTGTATATTCATATAACTTATTTCAACAGATAACATTGTGGTATAATAATGGATTGTATAATATAAAATATATACATGTTTGAATAAAATTCAAACCTGGGGTAGATATGTGTTATTACATGGTCAGATTCACCCTGAAAGCCAATATGTAAATTTAAAATATTGAAAATGGTTTAAAAGAAAAGCCTTTTCTTTCTTCTTTCTGAGGTGAAATGTATGTACTCACTTTAAAATTCACATTTGCCTATAAAAACACACCCAAGTATAAACGGCTTTCATGCTTGCAGTTGGGTAATGATGGTTGTTATAAATGGCTAAAACATCCCATGGCACCAGTGATAAAAGTAGAGCAGTTGATGTGCCA